CCCGCTTCATTAGCGAACTCCCTCCTCCTCCTAATGATCAAGCTTATGATGATTGGTGTAGTGAGGATTCCTATGTTATGGGTTTGATTTGGTATAGTCTGGAACCACATATTGCTACTACCGTGAAATTTTGTGATACCTCTAAGGACATTTGGGACTCCCTTGCCGAGTCTTTTTCAAATCAAAGTAATGTCTCTCAGGTCTATAAGTTATATGAACAAATTTTTGCTATGCGTCAATCTGGCCGGTCTCTCCCTGATTATTATAGTAGTCACAAGACTTTGTGGGATCAGTTACTGCAGCATCGACCTTTCACTACTGATGTGAACAAGCAGAAGCAACATTGGGAAGAGTTTATGATGGCTTCTTTACTTTCTGGCTTAGATCCTGAGTTGCGAGGGTTCAAGGATCAGATTCTTGCCAGTGAGACTTTACCTTCAGCTACCGATGCCTATTCTAGGCTGTTACGCTCTTCATTGGGACAAGCACAATCCACTTCTAGGTCCTCTACTTTATAATCTTCTGTATTGGTTTCTAGTAATGGTGATCATGGGTCTACTCGCGGGAGTTTTCATGGTTCATCTGGTTCCCAGGGCTCTTATTCTGGTTCACGGGGCTCTTGTGGAGGAAAACCTCGTAGTGGTGGCTCACGTGGTGGTTTCCGTGGTGGCGGTAATAGTGGACCTAGTTCTCGTACACGTGGTGATCGCAAGTGTACTAATTGTGGTTCCTAAGGTCATACTGAATCTTGGTGTTGGCAGAAATATAGCAAACCTGATCATGTCCATCATGTTATGGATGTCCCATCCTCACAGTCTTCCTTGTTGTCCACTGGCTCAGATGCTTCTCCGGTTAATTCTCATGAGACACTCACTACTCAGATTAGTGAGCTTACTGCTCTTGTCCAGTCTCTCCAGCCTAGTCTACCTTCATCTTCTACTGCTACCATGACTAGTTCAGGTAATATTGCATGTGTGGCTAAGTCCCCTCAGCCTTGGCTTCTAGACTCTGGTGCTAGTTCCCATGTCTCTGGTAATTCCTCTCTTTTTGATACTCTTAGACCTGTTGATCATACCATTATACTTGCTGATGGATCTTCTCGGCCAGTCTGTGGTCAAGGTCCACTCCTGCCCACTCCATCCCTTTCTTTACCTTCTGGTCTTTATGTTCCTAAATTTTCATTTAATTTGCTTTCTGTTAGCCAATTGACTCAAGCTCTCCATTGTTCGATAACCTTTTCTCCTACTTCATGTATTTTGCAGGACCTCCAGACCAAGAAGATGATTGGATCGGGACATGAGAAGGATGGCTTATACTTTTTGGACACTGAGACCTCTCCTCATCCTCCATCTGCTGTGTTGAGTGCTAGTGTATCTCCTCTTCAGTGGCATTTTCGCTTGGGTCACCCCTCCTTAGCCAAGCTCAAGTTAGCTGTTTCGGGCTTGAGTCATGTTTCTCAGATTGAGTGTGAAGCCTGTCAATTTGGGAAGCATCACCGTAATTCTTTTCCTAGTCGTAGTGTTAGTCGTGTGTTTGAGTCGTTTGCTCTTGTCCATATAGATATTTGGGGTCCTTCTAGAACTCCCATTGTTAATGGGTTCTTTTATTTTGTTATTTTTGTGGATGATTACTCTCGGATGACTTGGTTGTTTTAATGAAACAAAGATCTGATTTGCCTTTCATCATCTCTAAGTTTTATAATGAAATCTTTACTCAATTTGGCAAACGTATTAAGATATTTCGATCTGAAAATGCTTTAAAATATGTGCAATCTATCGTAACTACATTTTGTGATACTCATGGTATTATCCATCAAACTAGTTGTTCTCATACATCCCCTCAAAATGGTGTTACAAAGCGAAAACACCGCCATTTGTTAGATGTTGCTCGCACCCTGATGTTTAATATGCATATCCCTAAACAGTTTTGGGGCGATGCAGTTCTCACTGTTTGTTTGCTTATCAATCGCATGCCCTCTAGTGTTGTATACACATCTCCCTATTCTCTGCTTATCAAACTCCCTATTCTCTGCTATATCCCACAACATCTCATTTTCCCTTGCCTCCTCGCATTTTTGGTTGTGTGGCCTTTGTCCATGTTCTTCACCCTGGTTTGGATAAGTTATCTCCTTGCGCACGCAAGTATGTGTTCTTAGGTTATTCTCGCACTCAGAAAGGGTATCGGTGTTATCATCTTGAGTCCCGTCGCTACTTTGTCGGTCCTAATGTTACCTTTTTCGAGTCTACTCCGTTTTTTTTCTTCCTCTGGGCAACAGTTATCTATTGATCTTCTCTCTTCTCGTGAGAGGGAGCCAACCTCTCTCACTCCTACTTTTCCCTCTTATACTGCTTCCACATCCACTCCTATATCCTCTCCATCTCCTCTTGCTTCTACCCCTCCTTTGCAGGTTTATCAACAATTTCAAGCTCGTCGCATTGTGTCTTATAGCCCGACCAGTTCATCTCCTTCGTCTGAGGCCGCTGTTCTACCTGTTGCTATGCCATCTGATGACCTTCCTATTGCACTCCGCAAAAGTAAACGAACTTGCACTCAACATCCTATTGCTCATTTCATTTCTTATGATCGCCTCTCTCCTATCTTCACTCTTTTGCTTGTAGCATGTCTAGCATTTCCATTCCCCGCACCTATTAGCAAGCTATGTCCATCTCTGGTTGGAAGCATGCCATGAATGAAGAAATGCATGCTCTTTATCAGAATCAGACGTGAGAACTTACCTCTCTACCGTCTGGCAAATCTATTATGAGTTGTTGTTGGATCTATACTGTTAAGTATCTTCCTGATAGAACTGTTTAGCGACTTAAGGCTCGCCTACCCAGACCTATGGTGTTGATTACTTGGAGACCTTCTCTCTTGTGGCTCGTATTAATTCTGTTCGGATTCTTCTCTCTGTTGCAGTTAATCAGTCTTGGCCTTTATATCAGCTTGATATCAAGAATGCCTTTCTCCATGGCGATCTCCAAGAGGAGATTTATATGGATCAGCCCCCTAGCTATGTTGTTCCCGACCAAGAGCATCTTGTTTGTCGATTGCGGAAGGCCTTGTATGGTCTTAAGCAGTCCCCTCGTGCCTGGTTTGATCACTTTAGGCCTCGTTTGGCAAGAGGCTATTTTAGCCAATTAGCCAAAAAGTTACTAAATTAGCCAAAAAGCCAACAACCCATACCAAAAAGTCAAAGATTCTCTTTTCTCTCTACTTTTTGCACATCTTTTCGTAATTAGCCAAAAAGTCATCCCAAACATACAAGTTTTTTTTACATACATTTTTAGCCAAATAGCCAAAAAGTTACTAAATTAGCCTGTTCCCAAACGAGGCCTTAGTGCTGTTGTGCTTGCCTATGGATTTCACCGTTCCACCTTTGATCACTCTGTTTTTGTTCGCCACTCGTCTACTAGGAGTATTGTTATTATTGTCTATGTGAATGACATCATCATTTCAGGGAGTGACTCCACTGGTATTGCTGATTTGAAGCAATATTTGGGACAACAATTTCACACCAAAGACTTGGGCCTTCTTCGGTATTTTCTTGAAATTGAAGTTGCCCACTCTTCTCAGGGCTTGTTTCTTTCTCAACGGAAGTATGTTCTTGATCTTCTTACTGAGACTGGCCTCTTAGGCACACGCCCCAGTGATACTCCCATGGATTCTAGTGTCAAGCTTGATGGTGACACTGGTGACTTATTTCCCGATATTGGTCGTTATCGTCGGTTGGTTGGGAAGTTAATCTATCTCACTGTTACTCGTCCAGATATTACCTATGCCGTGAGTGTGGTTAGTCAATTTATGCATGCTCCCCATCAACCCCATTTTGTGTTGTGTGTCGTATCTTGCAATACTTAAAGCGTGCTCCCGATCGAGGTTTGCTCTATCGCCCCTCTTTCTCTTTGTTTGTCACTGGCTTCAGTGATGCTGATTGGGCTGGTAATAAGACTGACCGCCGTTCCACCTCGGGCTATTGCACGTTTGTTGGTGGTAATCTAGTTACTTGGCGTAGCAAGAAACAGACTGTTGTTGCTCATTCTAGTGCCAAGGCTGAGTATCGTGCCATGACTCATACTGCTTCTGGGATGCTCTAGGTTCAGTCTCTTTTCCAATATTTTGGCTTTTCTGTTCCCACTCCTATGATCATGTCTTGTGACAATCAAGCTGCTATCTTCATTGTCAATAATCCTGTGTTTCCTGAACGCACCAAACATATCGAAGTTGATTGCCATTTTATTCGTGATCTATTACTCCGTAAACAACTTGTGACTCCTTATGTTCATTCTAAGGATCAATTGGGTGATATTCTCACCAAGCCTTTGGCTCGGCCTTTGTTTCATCGCTTATCCGTCAAGCTGGGCATGTTCGATCTCTATGCTCCAGCTTGAGGGGGAATGCTAGAATGTTCTTTTGTTCTATTGTTAATATTTACTTAAGTTGAGGGTACGATGGTCATATTGCTATGTTAGGGTTTGTCTATATATATTTGACTAATGTAAAGTTGAGGAACAATGATTATTCAATATATATAAAACTTCTTCTTCTTCTTCCTCCTAATTCCCAACCCTAAATTCCTTCATTTTACATTCTAACTTATAGGTTGATGTGTATTGGACTATTATGTTTTTTATATTGGCTTACTACTGAATTTGAGAATTCAGTATACTATGCCTCTCTTCTCTACAAATTCTTCTCTCCACCCGTTCTTATTTTCTTCCTCTTCTTCTACTCTTCCCTATTATATTCTTTGCTTGACTGATTTCTTTCCCCCATTGGTGCTACGTAATAAAATTTTTGTGGACAGCAATACTTCAAGAGATGTTCTATATTGTTCATGGATATACACTATATATGCATCTAACAGCAATGTAATCCAAGTTAAGATGAGCCTGCTACCAAAAACAAATGGACAGTATACACAATAAAACACACTACAGTGGTAAATCTCATGTCAGAAAAACACAAAATTGGATCAGTTTTCAGAGCACATTCAAAAATACCTAGTAGCAGAGAAGATATCATCAAACTTCTTTTTCAATGTAGAAGGATCTTGCAAAGGCCAGTTAGCCTCATCTTGATGCACAAATATAACATTTTCAAGGATAGCCTTTGAGACACCCATAAGAGCAGGGATTTCACGATCCATGTCAGCACATCTATAGCTTAGGCAAACTTTCTGCAGTTCAAAAACAATAACAAAAATTAATATGAAGCAGATATTTTCCCAAATTTCACAATCAGCAGACACAAATATTAGTGTAGAAAAAATACAATTCGAACAACTACTGTGGCTAATAGAAACGAAATGAAGCACGGGTACAAATACGAGTACTAGTATTGGTATGATATGGGTACGTCAATACAGTAAAATCCAAAAAATGTAGGATACGGGTATGGCTTGGTACATTTGTAAAAAAAATATTTATTTTTAATGTAGAGTAATGTAAAAATTGATTAAATTGTTTAATTTGTTAAGATCCAACCTACAATTAACATTAAGGCCAAGTTTGGCAAATTGAAAAAAAGTCAAAAAGCCAAAAAGTTAAAAAGTTATTACTATTCACCAAAAGTCAAAAAATACGGCTGCACAACTCTCAATCCTAATTTTCCCCTACACACTAATTTATACAATTTTTTAATACACACTTTTCCATAAAAAGTCAAAAAGTCAAACAACCATATTTTTTTCCTCAACTTTTTAGTCCAAAAAGTCAAAAAGTGCACTTATTGAGAACATCCCAAACAACCCCTAAATGCCAAAAGTAAAGGTATAAACCAAAATTAAACGTCATTATATTTAATAACTTACAAACCATAACTTAATTTTAAAATCATACTAAGCATAAAACTAAAAATAAAAATAAAAAAATCTAGTGAAAGGAATTTTATCTCTGTAATAGAAAAAAATATATTGTTTCGACTAAGGTACAATACGGCATCGTTATATACTAGGTACGTCTTAAGAAGAAAAATTTGAGCACGCGATGCAAAAGTACCATATGCCGGTAAGTACCCGGTACGTGTGCTGCATGTTTGTCAAAGTACCCATGCTAATGCTTCATAACATAATGGTCAAGGTATTCAAAATAGCAAAATAGGAGAGAGTAGCAAACCGCACCCCAAAGAAATTTAAAATAAAATAAAAATAATAGAGAAATATATATCACAACTTCGATCAAAAACTTTAATGAAAAATGAACACTCTCCATTCCAAGGCAAAGTCACAAAGGGCACAACAATCATTCGAAATTTCCCTCCACATATGACTCTTGAGTGACACGCATGCACGAGACACGCATAATTCTATCATTCCACACCTGGTCAGGAACTAGTTAACCCACATTGCTTTGTGCTTGTATGAAGGATAAATCTATTTCAGACAAGTATAAATAGTAAACTCTCAGTCATCAAATATTTCCTTTTCTACCAAACACAGCCACTCAACATATCCCATGTATACATATGTATATATATTATATACCATGCATTTTCAGCAATGTATTTAAATACATAAAAAATGAACTGTTAATGAGTTCAAAATAGTTACAGTTTTATACACAATGACATCAAACCAAGAGTTGGATCCAACTGTTGGATTTAGCGTGTGCATTGCATGTGTTTGCATCTGTCCCTTAAAAACCAAACTCAAGGTCTAGATGGGGAGTATGATGTAGGTTGTAGATGGTTGGAATGGAAAAGCAAAAATCATAAGGAACAGAACAGTGCATGTAAACTACTAGAGAAGCACCAGCAGTACAGCAAAGAACTTCAATAAAGAAAGGCCTATGAAGGAGGTCATTGGCAAGTCGACAGACCATGGGCCCGTTGGAAATTACGATAGCACTGAGACAGAGCATGACCAACAAGGTGGACAGGGAGAAAGCTGAAACAACCTTAGAGTGGAGACAAAGAGTGGCAATAAGTGAGAACCTCAGTGGAAGCCTCCTTTTGTATAGGGTTGGGATATTGGGTGCACTTACCCTTGCATGGTGCCGCATGCTTGGAGAGAGGTGGCTCATCCACCTTTGCCCAACTATACCAATGCTTAGACCTCAGGGGTTGTATCAAAGATTTGTGGGTGGTAGGTATGATACACCTCACAAGGTATCAGATGACTTGGTCAAATTATGGCTTTCTTCTAAAGGCATCTCTCACTTCTCTAAGACTATCTAAAGTAGAGCCATTCTGAGGGGGTGAGCCAAGCAACTCTGACAATCCCTCAACTTTAATCACCCCATCCACAAGTACTTATTATACCACGTGGGGTTATTTGGTTCACTTGGGCATCCTATGACAAAGTTACCATGCCCAATGGGGTTCCTAGGCCCTGCTCCTAGCCTAGGCTGGCATGGCAGCAACAAGATATCTTTTTCAATCATAGCTTACCATGGTCAGACAAAGTGACAAGGCAAGCGGAGCTAGTCGAGTGGAGTCGGGCTCCATGAAGAGCAGCATGAACAGAGCTCAATGAGCAAAGGCAGGCAACACTGGCAACACCACGTTCAAGCAAGGGGGTTCACTTGAACCCTCCAAGATTTGAAATCTTTTATTAGTTATGACAAGTTTTATTATTGAAAGTCAGTTATACGTATTTCATGAACCCTCTCATTTTATTGGTTGAACCATCTGTGTACTTTACTACCCACTTTCTTATCGCCTCTCTCTAATTCTTTATTATTTTCCTCAAGTCTTTACACTACCAAGAAAAATATTATATATAACCTTATTTTTTATCTTATTTTTATACCCCTAGATACAAGTGAGTGAATTTCGTATTTATTTATTTATGTGAGTCACATTGTTTTGTCAATGAGTTCGAAAATGAGATAAGAAAAGTGATTATGTATGTCATTGCTCTTTAAAAAATAGTTTATTTTCAACTTTAAATCTCAACACTTAGTTCCTCTATTTTTTTGATGTGGCATATTGTCATTCAAAGTACTATAGAATGTGCTACAGAGAGTCCATTATAGAGGATCCAAATTCATAAAAGTACTTGTGTTCCTGTCTTTTTGGTTAAAACAATACTAGTTTTTTAATTTATAATTTGAGAAGTTTTTTTATTTTAGAAATAAAAAAACAGAAACTAATATGAAAATCTTGCTTGATAGACTATTTTTGGGGAAAAAATTAAATAATACTCCTTTTAAGAATTATTTTTTAATTTTCAAACATTGTTTTACATTAAAAAAAAATTAAAGATATTAAATGTTGAGTGTTTTTAAACTTTTCATTGTTTTTGTCTTTAAACATGAAAAAATAAAATATCAAAAATATGACAATATCAAAAAAAAAAAAAATTGAATGACCCCACTCCCGAAATTTTCTAGAGTCGCCACTAGCAGGCAACCAAAGCTGGCCGAGTTGGATACTAAGCTAAAGTTCACTTACGCCTTGTATTGTGAAGAATTGGTTTGAGACAAACCCTAACGATGACATGCCTTGCAACATGAGAAGACCAAATACATGTATCAACAGCTTGATATAAGAAAATACTATTGACAATGGGGGCTTATAGAAGTGAGAAGTTGTGGACATGTTCAAGACAAGTGTCATGAAAATCCTACGTTCTTTTGTTGCGCTCCCAAGGATCAAGCTTTTTGAATATATCAAATAATAGAGCCTTGGATTGGACAAAAACCAAAGTATAGAAAAACAAATAAAGAAAAACCAAACTCAAGGTCTAGATGGGGAGTATGATGTAGAGGCATAATCTTCATTGATGTGGCATCTATCAAGGCAGTGTATGTGACAGCCATATGGGTGACGTGTCACTTTACCAATATTCAGTGTCTTATTAGTTTCTAGTCATTGTATTTATTAGTCAATGACGTTAAATAAAGCCTATTATTATAGCTTAGAAGTTGTGATTTGACTGCCTAGCAAGTTAAAAAGTTGTCTATGTAACCGAAAGTTTTGTTGAAAGTTATACAAAAATTAACAGGAGCCTTGGATGAAGTAATCTTTATAATGTATGTATATATATATAATATAAATATATCTGAAGGAAAGGGGAAAAAAAGTGATTTTGATTCTAAATTAAAAAAAGTTATTTAGGGTCAATTATCACAACAGCAGGGGAGATTGATGCGGATGTGGTCCATAGAATTAAGGCAGGATGGTGTAAATGGAGAAGTGCGTCTGAGGTACTGTGCGATAAACGAATACCCACTAGACTAAAAGGTAAGTTCTATAGAATGGCTATTAAACCAGCGATATTGTATGGGACGGAATGTTGGGCAACCAAGAAACAACATGTAGATAAGATGAGTGTGGTTGAGATGAGGATGTTTAGGTGAATGTGTGGCAAAACTAGACAAGACAGAATTAGGAATGAGTATATTCAGGAATGGGTAGCAGTAGCACCGATAGAAGATAAGTTGAGAGAGAATCGATTGAAATGGTTTGGTCACATTCAACGGAGACCAATAGAGGCTATAGTGAAGAGATGCGATACTATAACGGTAGATGGGAGTGTTAGGAGACGGGGTAGGCCTAGATTAACGTTGGCTAGCGTTGTAAATAGAGATATGGATCTACTTAATTTGACTAACGAAATGGCCTTTGATAGGGCCGCGTGGAGAAGAAAGATTCATATAACCGACCCATTTGATGGGACTTAAGCCTTGGTTTGATTTGATTTGGTAACTAGGTGTCCAAGCTAACTTGCTCAAACCTCGACTTATCTCGAGGCCCTAGAGTTAATGACTAGGCAAACCTCTAGTGGCCTCTTAGTGACTCAAACTCAAGACCTTGAATCTTATCCTCAAGTCTTTACCACTCGACCAACCCCTTATTGACAATAAATCTCTAGAAATTGAGCTTAGAAGAACCAAAATCTCTTAGTAGTTCAGCTACTTACCTAAATTCACTCCCAGTTCCTCACCGGTGTTTCTACACTACACTAAAATGAGTTTTAAATACATTCACCAAAACCATTTATCACTCACTTCAAAGGGCTTTCAATAGGATCCATCCTCAACCTCTGCCACATACAATAACACAAATGACAAACCTCAACCACCAATCCACAAACCTATCACTTCACTAGATACACAAATCTATAAATTGAACTTCAAAGGTTATGCCCAACAACATATCGAAGTTAGACAAGTGAGGTGTGTGATACCCCCTCCGTCCCATCTTGCTAGTCCATTATTTCATTTTTTGTTGTCC